TGAGCAGTTTAGTATCATCTGCAAACTTTGCCACCTCACTGTTTACCCCTTTCTCCAGATTGGTCTGAGGACTGACCCTTGGGGAACACCACTAGTTCTGCGAACACCCCTCTCCATTCTGAGAATTTACCATTAATTCCTACCCTTTGTTCTCAATCCATGAAAGGATCTTCCCTTTTATTCCATGACAACTTAATTTACGTAAGAGCCTTTGGTGAGGGACCTTGTCAAAGGCTTTCTGGAAATCTAAGTACACTATGTCCACTGGATTCCCCCTTGTCCACATGTTTGTTGACCCCTTCAAAGAACTCTAATAGATTAGTAAGACACGATTTCCCTTTACAGAAACCATGTTGACTATTCCTCAACAGCTTGTTTTTCTATGTGTCTGACAATTTTATTCTTAACTATTGTTTCAACTAATTTGCCCGGTACCGACGTTAGACTTACCGGTCTGTAATTGCCGGGATCACCTCTAGAGCCCTTTTTAAATATTGGTGTTACATTAGCTAACTTCCAGTCATTGGGTACAGAAGCCAATTTAAAGGACAGGTTACAAACCTTAGTTAATAGTTCCGCAACTTCACATTTGAGTTCTTTCAGAACTCTTGGGTGAATGCCATCTGGTCCCGGTGACTTGTTAATGTTAAGTTTATCAATTAATTCCAAAACCTCCTCTCGTGACACTTCAATCTGTGACAATTCCTCAGATTTGTCACCTACAAAAGCTGGCTCGGGTTTGGGAATCTCCCTAACATCCTCAGCCGTGAAGACTGAAGCAAAGAATCCATTTAGTTTCTCCGCAATGACTTTATCGTCTTTAAGTGCTCCTTTTGTATCTCGATCATCAAGGGGCCCCACTGGTTGTTTAGCAGGCTTCCTGCTTCTGATATGCTTAAAAAACATTTTGTTATTACCTTTGGAGTTTTTGGCTATCCGTTCTTCAAACTCCTCTTTGGCTTTTCTTATTACATTCTTGTACTTAATTTGGAAGCGTTTATGCTCCTTTCTATTTGCCTCACTAGGATTTGACTTCCACTTTTTCAAAGATGCCTTTTTTATCTCTCACATACTATGGCCCGATCCTGCTCTCCTATCAACTGCAGGAGTTGATTTGCAATGAATATTAGTATATGGTTCTTTTGGGTTATAGCTCTTAAAATGCTGCCACAAGACTTACATATGTAAATCACTTGCAAGGTTAGTTGCAAAAAGCTCACTAGTGTGCATAATTCAAGTGATAATATTTAGTTTGCTTTTTGTCCCCTTATAGGAAGGAAAAATTATGCATGACTTTTGAAGCTTAGGTACAATAAGAATCTTTAAAGATATCTTCATAATACATTAAATAAGCTCAGGTTAGCCCAGCAGGCGTTGTTCAATGGCTATTTTGAAAACAAATTCTAGTAGTTTGCAAATGCTTACTGGATATTAATGTTGTTGTCTCTTTATTGAAAAATAAACCTACTCTTACAATTATAACAAATCACAGAAACAACAACTGGAGTAACTTTACCTATGTTTTTGTCCTTTTCATGTCTTTCTAGGAAAAATGGAACAAAAGTACTTGAGCAACTATTTTACATCAGAAGTAGATTTTAAACCATTAGATACGATGAGTAGAATATTTCTGGAAATTCCTGAGTAATCATAACATAAGGCACAAGGTTGAAGAATTTGATTGCCCAAGGAAACACAATAACTGGTCCAAAAATAAGCTGCTTAAGAGACTATTGTTACAAAATAAAATGTAAGCATAAAAGGAAGGAAATTAGTCAGATGCATGTATTTATTGTCCTTAATAAAAATACATATGGCATCCAGTCAGAAAGCTCCAAGGTTTTCCATTAATCAATAGCCATTAAAAGCAAAAAAATATTGTACTGCATACGACCCCTTAAGACTTTATGCAGAAAGCCTGTTTTACTAAACATTCAGAACACCAAATTGTAAGAGAGATCTCCCAGACATCACACTGATGTTTATAGACTTGGAAGTGTCTCCTGAGAATTGCAGCTGAAGACATGTGGAGTTGAAACATATGCTACATTCAGGTACTTGCATGCAAATAGAGGAGATTTTAATACATTCTAGCCCTTCCATAGTTTGAGGATTTTATTTAAGAGAAATTTATTTAATTAGCTTGTGGTAAATGTAATCGAAGTCTCTATCATTTTCTAATTGAAATTGACATTTTTCTCTTTTTTGTTTCATGGTTTTGATTGCATATGGATTTGCAGTATCTAGTAAACAGTGTTTAGTGGAGTTTTGTACATATCTATATAGAGAATAACAGCTCACTGAATTATGAGGCTGTACTACCATTATCGGTTTCTGGTGAAGTCATGACTCATGAAAGCAAAGTGTGAGTAGTTGATGTAGTCACCAGAACTTTAAGATGAAACCAGGACCCCACAATTCAATGTTTTCTTGTTAATTTACATAAACCCATTAGGGCACTTTAAATGAAGTTGCCACCATACTAATGGTAGATTATACATTCCTCTGCCTTGGCAACAGCATCACAGTGACCTTTTAAAGCAACCTTAGTGATACATTTATCCAGGCTCCAGAATGCCAGCTCCATCTTCTTCATGGCCTGGTATTTCCCACTCCTTTCCCAATGACCTCCCGTGATGCTACCCACTTTTTTCCATCCTTATCCCTCTTCAGACTGATGCCTCTTCTCTGTTTGTTTCATCCGTCTATCCTTTCTAAATGCAGCACCAAACTGCCCACATCCGCTGCTAGCGTAACTCTTAAGCTTAAATTATTTTTCTTAATTCTTTTACTGCTGTGACTGGGTTCCCAGGGGAGCCAGCTGAGGTCACTCAATTAGGGTGAACTGCAAAGAATGGGGCAGAAAATCCACAAAGCTGGTGGATATTCCAATACTTAGATTTACCTAGCCAGCATTAACAGTTTCTGTTATACCTTACTGGTTAATCAGAAGCCCGAAACACAGTTCCCTTAAAGTAACCCAGCCTCAGGCCTCCGCCTAGTTACCCAAGTCAGATATGATGAAAACCTTATTTTGTCATATAAAAAGAAAGGTTCTACCAATCCCAAAGGATCGGACACATTACCTCCAAGGTTAATGAATATTCCAGATCTTACCCAAATACATGCTTATAGCCAATTCTTATAAACTAAACTAAAATTTATTTAAAAAGGAGAGAGAAAGAGTATGGTTAAAAGATCAATATACATACATGAGTTCAATTCTTGAGGTGCAGATTCATAGCAGAGATGGTGAGCTTTGTAGTTGCAAACAGTTCTTTTAGAATTTAGTCCATAGGTTATAGTCCAATGTCCAATATCAAATTCGGGGTGTTCCAGATTAACTGGGATCTCAATCTTACGACTCAAACTTCCGCTGATGAAGCTTGAGCAGATCTGAGATAAAAAAGGATTGGGACCCCAGGGTCTTTTATATAGTTTATCCACTTGACCATACAGTCCTGGGTAAACAATACGTTTTTGATGTAACCTTCTGTTTTCTAAAACTTACCGGTAACTAATTACACAAATTAACATATGGCAATTTATCTATTAGGCAATCTGTCACAAACTTCAAAGAGACATATAGACAATGACATTTTCACCCAAGATTCATCTCAATGTTAATATTCCTTTTTGATCTCTTTATTAATAGTTATAGTGACAGATAGGAACTATCTGTTTACATGGCTAACCTTTATGAGGAGACACAGACAATTAGTATCACTTCTAACAATATCGGTTTGCATTTCAAAATTCTAGCCAATCTAACATTGAATGGCCCTCATTACCATTCGCATGCTTTCTAACATGACTTTAAAGATTGGCTTTGTATTGTACTTTGCATAAGATTCGTTGCAATTATATAACTGTGGTAGAAATAATGATTTGAATGATTATATTTTAATTAGACAATGTCACAACTGCTGAAGAATCTGTTTTAGGCCCCAATCTAGGATAGTACTCAAGTGCATGCTTGAAACCATTCTTGTTTAGGACAGCACTCAAGCACATTCTTAATTTTAAGCATGTGCTTACATATCATTGATGGGACTTAGTGCTTAAGTGTTGTCCTGTACCCAGGATGCTTCCCAGAACAGGAGCCTTGGTGCGCACACAGAGTTGAGACTGAAAAGTTCCAAAGAGGAGAAAAATATAGTTAGAGGTACTACATGCTTGCATATTGCTGAGGTTTTTTTCTGCCTGTCATAAAGAGGGAATGTGACTGAACTATTCAGAAATAAGGGTGGAAGAGTGAAAATTGACTTCTCTGCTTTTCACCATGGCCCGTTACACAATGCTACTTTGTAGAGTCTTCCTGCCAAATATCTCAAAATATTTTGTAAACATTAATGATTTAACTCCCATAAGTCTACGTAAAATAAAAAACAAGTGTTCATGCAGTAAAATTAATGGCAGATAATTTTAGGCAGATAAAAGGAAAAATTTGTGCACACAGTATAGCAGATTTGTGGAATTCAATGCTTCAAGAGGTTAGATCAAATACTGTACTGGAGTTTAAAAAAAGCAGGGACTTGTATAACTGTGACAAGGTGTACCTGGCCCTTCAAGCCCCTGTGTTTGAGGCCCATGGTCCTACCACACCCCACCCAGGAAAGGGTCAGTGAAGGTGGGTTCAGACAAATACATAGATACTAAGACAAATACACTTAGTATCTATTCTTGACTCTCTAACAATACAGGCCTACATGTCAAGGATTCTAGTACTTTGGCCTTGCTAACTATCTACAAGCAATGGCCCTGCCACAATACTTCAATACTTTTCTAATATGTCCTTAAGGGTTGCTTTCAGGTCAACAGATTTCCCAAATGCAGTCACCAACAGATTTTTTTTTTTTTTTTGCAGCCACAACAGCCTCCAAAGCATGGGTGGAGATTGGGGGTGTGGCATGGGACGGAGTTGCCCTGCCAAACTGTATATACATTGATGGAGGAGGGGCACAATTAAAATGTTTGGCTGCCCCCCAAACAGCTTGAGTCTCAGCCCCCCTGGGCAGGCCCCTCCCCTTACAATCAGTTTCCCCTCCTGGAAAGCAACAGCTCCTCCCTGCAGCACTCAGCCGTTGCTCCTGAATAGCTGTTACCAAGGGCAGCGAGATGTGCTGCTTTCGTGTTTGTGCTGGTGCTGCCAGCAGGGTGCCCTGCAGTGCTCAGCCTCTTTGGGGGCTCCAGCCAGCACCTCTGAAGACATGTGGGGCTAGTGTGCGTGGCTCTCGCTGAAGGACCAGGGGGAGGCAGGGACAGAGAGAAGGTTTGTCAAAGTGGCCGCACTCTGTGGCCACCACATTTTTTTTTTTGTTGAAACCCCAAATTAAGAGTCGCACCCCTGAGAGGCCAGTTAGCACAATAGATATCATAATTACAGCAGGATTCCTAAAGGCACAGTAACACAGAGCAAATTCACTAAAACGAAGGAACAGTTCTGGCCTGTTTGCTAATTTCCATGTAAAGAATTCAGGCTACTGCCTCCAAAAGACATGAAGGAAAAAGTAGGTGATTGTAGGAAGAAGGACCAGATTATCAAGAATTCTTGTTTGCCTAATGCGTATGGCCCGGGCAACGGAGTCAGAATATGAGTGGACATGAAGAAAAGTAATGCAGCTCTAATTAGAGGAATGTTCTTTGAGAAAACATTGAGCAGTCTCTCTGAGTTAATGTAATATGAGCGTGATTAGTATGTACAGAATGGAGAAATGCAAAAAAGAAAAACCGCAGAGCAAGAAAATGATTGAGAGAGCATAAAGTCTATGGCGTTTGTATACTGTTTCAGAAGTAAAAGACCCCATTTATTCATCTCCTGTGTGTGCTTGAGTTAGTTCTTCAGGTGTGTGAAACTGTGACTCGGAGATGCTTGGTATTTGCAGAAGGTAATAATCAGGTAAGAAGAGCTTTGTGCAGTTTAAAAGCTTGTCTCTTTCGCCAACAGAAGTTGGTCCCACATTGTGGGTTACAGATATTTTGAGGATGTTTGTCAGGGAAAGAAAAAAGGTTATCACCTCCAAAACTCAGGAATCATCAGTATCACCAAAGCCAAAATGAAAAAGCAGCTTAGAACTATGTATCAGCAGAAGTCACACACATAAGTGTCAAGATAATGTCTCCCATTCTTGAATAATCAATTTTTTTTTACTATGAAGGCTTCTAATTAAATTTAAAAAAAAATCTCCTCTGATGCTATTGAGGGTCTGATTGTTCCCCGTATGGCTCAATGCTCTGTACCTCACTGTGGAAGCATTTCATTATAAAGACTTTTAAAGTATTGTAGCAGATGTTACAATGTATTGAGTTACAAATATCTGAACACCTCCTGTATTAAGCACATGATTAGTTCAGAAAAAGTAATGTGATCTGACAAATTCTGACAAATCAATGTTAATATTTCAGATTGTATAACTTCATTTTTGTTTGAGATCATTAGCATATTATTAATATATTTATGCAATCATTTCTGTAAATTACTCCAAGCTGTAAAGCAAAGCAAACTAAACATACAAGAAGTCAGTGCCAGTCCATAAAGTGGCCAGCAGGGGATGCAGTAAGAGCGCAATGGCTACACTTTCCTTTTTCACTGAAACAAAACCTTATAAACACATACAGTACATCCCCAACTCCTTACTACTCAAATCCCCAGTTGGATTAAATATCACGCTTGTGTATCTGGTGATGCTAAAATGTTTCAATGGAGAATTTAGTTGTTTAGGTTTTCTCCTCCATTCCCACCCCCAGAACATAGTTAACCTTACATGTGTGAAGTT